CACACACACACACACACACACATACACAAACACACACTCACACTCACACACACGTGCACGCACACACATGCTAACATGTACAGACACACGCATAAGGGCACTCGTTCGTACTCACGCAAATACGCGACAGATTTTTATATACATTATATATATTATTATTATATATTTACATGCCTAACCTTAAAACCGGTTTACTTGCTTTGCTTTTTGATGAAACAAATTATATCCAGCTACCGAGACATTTGTGATTGACGGAGGAAGGAGTCGCTCTGAAGTAATGGTAGCATTAGCGAGAAAATTGTTGCCAAAGTTTGGTGACTTCAGAAGATTAAGTGTCCTTGGAAACTGCAAATATACTTCTGTTGTGCTTTTGATCAACGTGTTTCAGCAAACAAAAACAACAACAAAAATACAATCAGAAATGTGTTATTAATGAATGGAGAAAAAAGTGCGGAGCCAAAAAAAAAAATCAATAAAAACTGCCAAATATGCTGAAAAATCTTGGTCTCTTCGATTTCATTTTGACAAGAGCTCAATTTTAACAAGATACCACACCTATTGGCACCCAATAAACAACAAGTATCCACTCAGAATATAACCATGACCGAAACGTACAGCTACTTGGCTATCATCTTTGATCTGTTTAGTATCATCCTGAAGATGGAAAATACTCTCTAAATGTATTGCGGTTGTTCTTGGTTGTTTTGTTTGGTTTTTTTTTTTTTAATAAAGCGTTGTCATTTTGATTTCAGATTCCCTGTCAAAAAATCTAATAAACAGAGCGATTTACACTTTTATGTTCAACAGTTATTTATTTTCTACGTTTCTTTCACTTAATCAATAATATTTCAGGTTTCCCCGTGTCCCTCCGGCTTTCATTAATTGTAATTTTGATTAAGTTTTTTTTAAGAGGGAAGGGGAATGAAAGAGAGTTATGGCAGTCTAGACGTAACTGAAATGGGAAATATCCTCTTCATTTTCTTTGACCGAAATACACAAAGAAAAAAAAAGGAATAATAAGCAAATAAACGGATATACGTTTTGCTTAATACATTGATATAGCAGACAATCAGAACAAATTATACTTGTCTATTAAAATAATTAATGGTTCATATTCTAATGGATGCCAAGCTTAGTGAATTCTAGGTTTGTCAGTTGGATTGGGTAAAAAACTCCATTATTTGAGGTTTGCAATACTATTAAGGTAATACGTAATGGTATGTTCCAGGTGGGGTAATGAACAAAGAGCTCGGTGCTCAGGGGTTATCGGAGTCAGAGGCATAATGGTTTCCTTTTCAAACTGTTTTGCTAGGAATGTATTTCAATAAAAGCAACCCTGAAATGAAGTAGGATTAGTAAAACACACATGAGTATCAACCAGCCACCTGGGATAGAAGAAGAAAAAGAAGAAGAAGAAGAAGAAGAAAGAAGAAGAAGAAGAAGAAGAAGAAGAAGAAGAAGAAGAAGAAGAAGAAGAA